CAACTCTTCAGCACAAGGCTAGTGCTCTACCACTTGAGCCACAGCGCCACTTCCAGCTTTTTTAATTTTTTTCTGCTTATGTGGTGCTGAGGAATAGAACCCAGGGCCTGATGCATGCAAGGCAAGTGCTCTACCACTGAGCCAACTTCCCAGCCCCTCTAGTACATTTTAAAAGGAAAGAACTCCTGGGGCTGTGCAAGTAGATCAATGGTAGAACATTTGCCTGAGGCCCTAGATTCAACTCCAGGTATTGCTTTTTTGAGAATTACTTTCATAAACTATTGAAATACTTTCTGGGTATACGGTACTTTCAAAATAAGCACAGTAGAATTATTTAAAGTTATGTGTCTCTACATGTGTAGGTTAGTTCCATCCTCTATAGGACTAAACATAATCCAAATTTAGCCCTTGGGCTGGAGGCATAGCTCAAGCAATAGAAGGCATGTCTAGCAACATGAAGCATCCAGTTCAAATCCCAAGACTCTCAACAGAAAAAGAAAACAAAAAGTTGGCTTTCAACAAATACTACTTTTTTTAAAAATCTTCAATGAGGTTTATACTTAACTTGGAATCTGGAATCTGTGGCCAAGTAGATTTAGTAGGGGCTTTGTTGAAGAAACCCCAGAGTAAACAGCATTCACCCCAGCCCTGGTATCAAGTCAGGTATTCATCAGACCAAGAAGCAAGCCATCTTTGGACATTACCTCTAAGAGAGTAATAGCTCCAGTGAAATCTCTTTGTGAAAGTAGCTCCTCTAGTTTTGGAATCTTCCTACCTTTCTTCTTTCTTCTGTCAGTGTGCTGTGGTTCCCCACCTACTGCAGGTTTGGCTCTTGAAAGCATCTGCAAAAGGAGTAACAAAAGTACATTCAAAACAACAAGAACAACAACTAGGGGCTGGGGATGTGGTTTAGTGGTAAAAGTGTTTGCCTACCATGTGTGAAGCTTGGGTTCAATTCCTCAGTACCACATAAATAGAAAAAGCCAGAAGTAGCACTGTGGCTCAAGTGATAGAGTGTTAGCCTTGAGCAAAAGAAGCTCAGGGACAGTTCCCAGGCCCTGAGTTCAAGCCCCAGGACTGGCAAAAAAAAAAAAAGCCTGGCACTGGTGGCTCATGCTTATAATCCTAGCTATTCATGAGGCTGAGATCTGTGGATCATGGTTAGAAGCCAGCCCAGGCAAGAAAGTCCACAAGACTGTTATCTCCAATAAACTACTCAGAAAAAGCCAGAAGTGGCACTGTGGCTCAAGTGGTAAAGCACTAGCCCTGAGCACACAGACAGAGACCCTAGGACTGGCCCCCCAAAACAAAAAAATTTAGCCGGGTGCTGGTGGCTTCTACCTGTAATCATAGCTAGTCAGGAAGCTGAGATCTGAGGATTGTAATTTAAAACCAGTACAGGCAGGAAAGGCCATGAGATTCTTATCTCCAATTAACCACCAGAAAACCTGAAGTGGTGCTGTGGTTCAAAGTGGTAGAGTGCTAGCCTTGAGCAAAAAGGTCAGAGACAGGGCCTAGGCCCTGAGTTAAAACCCCATGACCAACAAAAACAAATGAAATTATTTTTATTATTGAGGTGTTTTACAGAGGGATGACCATTTTATAAGTCAGGTGATGAGTATATTTCTCTCTTTGGGGGGGGGGCAGTGTCATGCCTTCCTTTGCTCTCCCCCAGTTTCCTCTCATCCCTATCCACAAGTTACATAAATCATTTTCCACATAGTGTATACTGAATAGCATGACTATATTTATTCACCCTTCCTTCCTCCCTTTCTGCATATCTCCTTTACCGCACAGAAAGAAAACCCAAAGTAAACACACAAATACCACCACCACCAACCACAACAACAAACACCAACATTTTCATTTCCAGGAGTTCGTTTTTTTTTTTTTTTTTACAGTCGTGGGGCCTGAACTCTGGGCCTGGACGCTGTCCCTCAGCTCTTCAGCTCAGGGCTAGCACTCTACCACTTGAGCCACAGCGCCACTTCCGGCTTTTTTCTTTTTGCTTATATGGTGCTGAGGAATCAAACCCAGGGCCTCAGGCATGCAAGGCAAGCGCTCTACCACTGAGCCACCTTCCCAGCCCCCAGGAGTTCGTTTTGACAAATGTATTTTTTTTATTTTTTTTATTTTTTGGGGGGGGTCCGGTCGTGGGGCCTGAACTCTGGGCCTGGGCGCTGTCCCTCAGCTCTTCAGCTCAAGGCTAGCGCTCTACCACTTGAGCCACAGCGCCACTTCCAGCTTTTTTCTTTTTGCTTATATGGTGCTGAGGAATCGAACCCAGGGCCTTGAGCATGCAAGGCAAGTGCTCTACCACTGAGCCAACTTCCCAGCCCCACAAATAGTATTTTAAATGTCCAGAGTAGTTACCCTTTGAGTTCCTCTCCTAAAGATACCCCCCTTTAGTCTGTGTGTAAATGCCAAGAGTCCTGTATAAGTTATCATGTCTAGTTATATTTGAGGTCTAGCTTCCACATATGAGAGAAAATGTGCAATCTGTCTTGCTGAGCTTGGCTTACCTCACTTTGCATGATTTGTTCAGGTCCATCCATTTCTCTGCAAATGATAAATCTTATTTTTTTCTAATAAATGAGTAAAATTTCATTGTGTGTACATCCCACATTTTCTTGATCCACTTGTCTGTTGTTGTGGGGCATCTGGCCTATTTCCATAACTTGGTTGTTGTGAATAGCAAGTACCTTCACCGTTTCCTGTCTTAAAATGTTCTGGGTAAATGTCCAAGAGTGGTATGGCAGGGCCATAGGGAAGTTCTATGTTTAGTTTTTAGAGGATCCTCCAAACTGCCTTTCCAGAGTGCTTGTACTAGTTTACAGTCCCAGCAACAGTGCAATAGGGTTCCCTTTCCCCCACATCCCCGCCAGCAAAGATAGATATAGATGTAGATATTGATATAGATATATCCTTAAAGGCAAGTAACTTTACATCCAATTCTGACGGTCAGTTTTTGTTTTTGTTTTTTTTTGGTCAGTCATGGGTCCTGAACTCTAGGCCTGGGCACTGTCCCTCAGCTCTTCAGCTGCAGGCTAGCGCTCTACCACTTGAGCCATGGCATCACTTCCGGCTTTTTCTGTGCTGAGGAATCTAATGCAGGGCCTGTGCATGCAAGGCAAGCACTCTACCACTGAGCCACCTTCCCAGACTGACCGTCAGTTTTCAAGAGTGACAGCTTCACAATTTACAAGTCAAGGGCTGGGAAGGTGGCTCAGTGGTAGAGCGCTTGCCTTGCATGCCTGAGGCCCTGGGTTCGATTCCTCAGCACCACATAAGCAGAAAATGCCAGAAATGGTGCTGTAGCTCAAGTGGTAGAGCACTAGCCTTGAGCTGAAGAGCTGAGGGACAGCGCAGCGCCCAGGCCCAGAGTTCAGGCCCCACGACCGGACCCAAAAAACAACAACAACAACAACAACAATTTACAAGTCAAATCCAGAAGAAGCTACTCAAAGACTCACCCCCCCTTTTTTTCCCCTCAAAGATCTATCATCATGCACTTAGCTGAACCAACTAGTCCCAACTTCTCTATTCACATGCCATCTCGGAGTCCCCTCGTACAGTTTTCCATCCAATGTGTGGGAAATGAAGCAGGAGAGAAGAAAACATCCAGGTTTTACATTCGTCTCCCTTCCTTTCCCCTGTGGGAATCGGGGTGCACAAGGAACCTCCCCCCGCCCCCTGGTGTCACACCTAGAGTTTTCCCAAAAGTGTGCTGGGAATCTTTGACCTCAGGTCCCAGGACCTACTCAAAGTTCTCCCTTATCATTAGAAGCCACTCACCATCTTGGCGCCAGTCCTGAGAACCCCGTCTGCAGATGGCGAGCAAAGGCCGAGCTAGGGCGCGTCGCCGCATCTACTCTGCAAGCTCCGTCTCCAGGCAACGGCTCCCGGAGGCCGGTTCTGCCGGAAATAGGGCTCGCCGGAAACACAGGCCACTCCGCATCTTGGTTCCGCGCCTCTCCCTTTCCTGGCTCAGGGTGGAGGATCCTTTCTTGCCGGGTGAGGAGTACCATCTCTGTTTGTGCTAACAGCGAAAGTTGCGCCGTGTCTCCACGTTTGAGTTTAGGAAAGCACGAATTAGAATGACAGAGTTTTTAACATGCATGTTTCCTGGGACGGCCATTTTCAAGGACCACTTCCGTCTTGGAGGCTGCTGGGCCCTGTGGCGGCTCCTGGCTCTGTCTGGACCCCAGCCCAGCCCAGGCTGGTGGGGGAAGGACTGAATTTTATTGAGTTATATTAATTGTTGTGCTGAGCCGAGGGAGCTGCCCTTTGGAGGCGGAAGTGGCATCCACAGGGCTCTTCGGCTTCAGTACACCTACACACAATGAGGAGCCGAAAGAAACGTGTACTGAGAGGACGACGACTGAATTTAACCAAGGTAGCTCGCAAATGCGCTGAGAATCGGACTCAGGGCCTCAGGCATGCAAGGCAAGCTCTCTACCACTGAGCCACCTTCCCAGCCCTCAAATGCGCTGAGTCAGGGGATGGTGGAGTTGCAAGAGACCTTAGAGAACATCTAATCAAACCCTCGAAATCAACAGACTAAGTTGGGCGCCCGTGGCCCACGCCTGTAATCCTAGCTACTGGGGAGGCTGAGGTCTGAGGATCGTGAGACTCTTATCTCCCACACACTACTCAGAAAAGGACGGAAGTAGTTCGGTGGCCCAAGGGGTAGAGCGCAAACCTTGAACACAAAGTGGCTCCGGAACAGCGCCCAGGCCCTGGGTTCAAGCCCCAGGAGCCGCCTAAATAAATAAATAAATCAGCAGACTAAAAGAATTAACGTCTTAGGCCTGGTAGGGTGGCCTTCCCAGCCTCAGCCACCTTCCCAGCCCCAGACCTAACATCTTAATAATACTAACAATTGGGCTTAGTGAAATATTGTGCACACCATCTTGAACAACTAGCCTAATGAGACTCAAGTATACCTTAAGTGCATGGAAAGCTTGCTGTCACTTCTTAACTCCATTTGCATAGTCCTTCAGCTCCAGCCTCAGTACATCTTGTTGTCTCCTCTTGAAATCAGTTAGAGAGTGAATGACTACTTACCTTAATTCACAGATGGGTATATACTTTTTGTATATAACAAGCTTGATTAGTTGAACTGGACACTGAGAGGCACATATTTACACCCCAAAGATGCACAAATTAAGCTAGACACTGGTGGCTTATGACTGTAATCCTAGCAAATCACAAGGCTGAACACTGGAAGCCAGACTGGGTAAGAAAGTCTAGGAGACTTTTTTTTGGGGGGGAGGGGGGTCAGTCATGGGGCTTGAATATAGGGCTTGGGCACTATCCTTGAGCTCTTTTGTTCAAAGTTAGCACTCTACCACATGGAGCCACAGCAACACTTCTGGTTTTCTGGTGGCAAATTGGAAAAAAGAGTCTCAGGGCCTTTCCTGCCCTGGCTGACTTTGAACCACGATCCTCAAACTCAGCCTTCAACGTAGTTAGGATTATAAGCGTGAGCCACTGGCACCCAGGCAGACTATTATCTCCAACTAACCAGCAGAAACCAGAAGTGGAACTGTGGCCCAAGTGAGCCCTGCTCCCAGCACACACACACACACACACACACACACACACTCATTTACCAGCACTGTATTTTTAATTTTTTGCTTTCAAACTCAGAAATAGGGCCAGGAATGTGGCTTAGTGGTAAAGTGCTTACCTAGCATGCATGAAGCCCTGGATTTGATTCCTCAGTGCCACATTAACAGAAAAGCTGCAAGTGACGTTGTGGCTCAAGTGGTAGAGTGCTAGCCTTGAGCCAAAGAAGCTCAGGTGGAGTGCCCAGGCTCTGATTTCAAGCACCAGGACTGGCAAAACAAAACAAAACAAAAACTTCAGAAATAGCCCCACTTTGGGTTAGGTTTAAAACAAAAAAAATTTTGGCTCCCATTTACAGCAGTATTCTCTATACATATTTTTCACAGCTTAACTACAATGCCATTCAAATCATAATTTTTTTATTTTTATTTTTTGGTCCAGTTGTGGAGCCTGAATTCTGGGCCTGAGCACTGTCCCTCAGCTCTTCAGCTCAAGGCTAGTGCCCTACCACTTGAGCCACAGCACCACTTCTGGCTTTTTTCTTTTTGCTTATGTGGTGCTGAGGAATTGAACCCAGGGCCTCAGGCATGCAAGGCAAACGCTCTACCACTGAGCCACCTTCCCAGCCCCAATCATAATTTTTTAAGAAGTGTATATCTGTGGCTTTTCAATATATTCACTCTCTTGTGCGTAGATAGATTACCACTATTCACTCTGGAACATTTTCATCATCCCAGAAAGGAACCCCATGTCCCTTATCATTCTATCCTCTCCCTAGCCTCTAGTGATCACTAATCTGCTTTCTGTCTATAGATGTGACTATTTTGGTTATGTCATATTAATGAAGTCATACAAGGATTACAAAAATATTTTGTATGTTTGTGCCAGTACTGGGGCTTAAACTCTGTCCTGACTGGCATCTCTTAGCTTTTTTTTTTGTGGGGGGAGATCAGTTGTGGGGACTGAACTCTGGGCCTGGGTGCTGTCCCTCAGCTCTTCAGCTCAAGGCTGAACCACTTGAGCCACAGTGCCACACCTGGCTTTTTTCTGCTTCTGTGGTGCTGAGGAAATGAACCCAGGGCCTCATGCATGTGAGGCAAGCGCTCTACCACTGAGCCAACTTCCCAGCCCCTTCTTAGCTTTTTTGCTCAAGGCTGGCACTCTACCACTTGAGACACAGTTTCACTTTTGGCTCCTTGGTGGTTAATTGGAGATAAGTCTTGAGGATTTTCCTGTCTGAGCTGGCTTCAAGTCTGGATCCTTAGATCTCAGAGTCCTGAGTAGGTAGGATTACAGGGACGAGTTACTGCCCACAGCTAAATAAAATATTTTGTTTATTTATTTATTTATGTAAGTCATGGGGCCTGAACTCTGGGCCTGTGTGCTGTCCCTCAGCTCTTCAGCTCAAGGCAAGTGTTTTACCAGTTGAGCCACAATGCCACTTCTGACTTTTTCTGTCTATGTAGTGCTGAGGAATTGAACCCAGGGCCTCATGCATGTAAAGCAAGCACTCTACCACTGAGCCATCTTCCCAGCCAAAATGTTTTATCTTTTTACACTGACAAAAATATACCACTATGAAGAAGTTCAGATTTCTCAAAATTTTGTGCTGACTATGGCAGTGCAAAGATCTCCAATTCCCAGCCAATACCCCTTCAGATATATCTAGACGCCATTCCATACAATAAGAAGTGTGTGTGTGTGTGTGTGTGTGTGTGTGTGTGTGTGTGTGTGTGTGTGTCCATGTATACTCAGTCCACAGATCCAATCTCTAATCACCCAACTCTATTGGGAACTACCATTTTATGATAGACCTAAAAAGATGACAGGAGCAGGGAAGAGACCTCCCCCACTGTGGAAATAAGTTTGAAGTCATATGGACAGGGAATTCAGAGTCCTGAGCATCATGGCATGGTTGTGGGGAATGTGTAAGCTTCCCTCTGCCCCATGGACTCCACACCTAGTTCAGGGTGCAGTAACAGTGTAGAGCCCAATGCAAGGCCTTCTCACCAGAGTCTACAGGAGTATTGCTGATAATGTCAGAAAGTACTCTGCTAAAATTGCTAAATCAATGGAAGTGATTGCTGATTTCTAAAAGTTTAGTGTGTTGCTCTTAGTCTCTGACTTTTGAGAGGTTCTTTGAGATGCAGCTATAGTTTGAAAGAGTATTGAATACACCAAAGAAGTTATTATTCCAGTATAAGAGGGGATTTTAAGAAGATGCTTTCACTGGATCCTCTGAATTAACTAATAGTTGCCTCCCCTTATCTCCCCATTTCTATCTGTGCCTTTTTTCTGTGTGTGTATATGTGTGTGTGTGTCGGTCATGGGACTTGAACTCAGATCCTGGGCACTGTCTCTGAGTTTTGGTTTTTTTTTGGGTCCGGTCGTGGGGCCTAGACGCTGTCCCTCAACTCTTCAGCTCAAGGCTAGTGCTCTACCACTTGAGCCACAGTGCCACTTCGGGCTTTTTTCTTTTTGCTTATGTGGTGCTGAGGAATCGAACCCAGGGCCTCATGCATGCAAGGCAAGAGCTCTACCACTGAGCCACCTTCCCAGCCCCTCTCTGAGCTTTTTTTGCTCAAGGCTAGCATTCTACCACATTGAGTCACAGCACCACTTCCTGTTTTCTGGTGGTTCATTGGAAAGAGGAGTCTCATAGATTTTCCTGCCTGGGTTGCCTTTGAACTGTGATCCTCAGATCTCAGCCTCCCAAGTAGCAGATTATAGGTCTCAGCTATCTGTGCCTCTTTTTTTTTCTTCTGTTGGTCGTGGGGCTTGAACTCTAGGCCTAGTCGCTGTCCCTCAGCTCTTCAGCTCAAAGCTAGCACTCTATCACTTGAGCCACAGTGCCACTTCCGGTTTTCTCCTGGTTAATTGGAGATAAGAGTCTCATGGACTTTCCTGCTTGGGCTGGCTTTGAACTATGATCCTCAGATCTCAGCCTCCTGAGTAGCTAGGATTACAGGTGTGAGCCACCAGTGCCAATGCTATCTGAGCTGAGCTTTTCTTTACTTCAGTCCCTTTTAAATCATCTGTTTGCAGGAGGAAAGGAAAGATTCAGATAACCACCTTTTATGGAAGGCAAACTGCTGCTCAAACAAGCAATGGCTTCTTCTTATCTTAAAGCAAACAACCAAAAATGCAGGAGATCACATTGTTCCAGTTCTGTTCCAGTAATAAAGTAAAAACATCTCCAGAATTTCACCAAAGACAAAGACTGAGCTAATGGCCCACCACGCAGGCCATGCCTGGGACCTGGGACTGTTTAAACTCTGCAGATCTTTCTTACCTCTAGCCT